TACGCGGACTTTGTATTTGCGGACACGTAATGCGAAACTAATGGACGCGAAAGGGAAGAAACTTGTTCGACATTTATAGAATTGCAATTCTGTCAAACGTTTATATAGACTTACGGCAGTGGGTAAAAGAGAGAAAGTACGAATTACAAGGCCTCAGTCGTTTCTAGAAGTTGAGTCGCTCTCTAATTTAAGCAAAGTCTATTGTCGTTCCCCCCGAGAATTAAATTTAATTAGTACACGTCTAGACTGCGTTATGTAGTCTTCGGAGACTTGGACTTAGTTGCTACTTCCTCCAGTTATAAAACTATTGCTTCTCTACCGGGAATCCAATTAGAACGTGCGACACATCTTTGTAATTAATAATTCATTTTTATTTTAACCTACGTGCGGAGTTATACTGTTTTACTATTTAATACATCATTTAAGAAAAATTAATATATCGCGCACTCTTGAAAAAAAGTGACACATAAAAATTATTGGAAACAGGAAAGAAAATTGCATATATTACTATTAAGATTAAATATAACTTAGAACTAGCCGCTTGTTTCAAGTTGTCTAAAATTATAATGCAGATATTAATTTTTTTACAATGCAACCCTCAAAATTACCCTTATTTTTATTTGTGTCATTTTATTCGAATTCAAAACTTGTATTATTTTTCCCAATTGAAAGCTGATTTAGAATCTGTACATAAAATAAAATCCGAAAAATTCAACTTGTGTAACTTTTCTTGCAAGAGTACCTAAAGTATACAATCATTGTGCTACAAGATATTTGTAATATCATTATCGTTTATAAGAATACGATACTATTTTGAATTACACGTGTCATAAACGGCGGTAAGTAAAGCGATTTCTTTCCCTGCGCGAAAAATCGGATGGAACATCGGTTGCCCGGATAAAATGAGAGCATAAAGTACCGCGATACGCAAAACGGCGTGTACTAACACGATGTAATATCCTCGTGAATATATAGTGTATGGTAGCTTGAGTTTCTATCCACTTCCCTTAAACACGCTTAAACTGGCGGTGGTCGAGCACGTTTACGTAATACATGAATGTAACATTGCGTTACGAATACATGAATTCCTCTACCATAGAGAAAACCACACGAATCTGAAAATTTTGATTACCGCCGAGTTTCGCGATTACACGCAATTACAAGTTTAATCAAGCCGCGCGCCGTCGTGCCAAAAAAGATATATTGCACTTGTAATCTACACGGGTGTTTTTATTCGTAAATTAATTTTATTCTTGTTGGAAACGTTCCAATTTCTTCTTCATGACATTTTTAAGAAACAATGGTCGCAGAACGGAACGAATCTCTTAGGAATCGTATTTCTTATTGAACAGCAATTCAGGGACGCTAACGTTTTAAATTTTTAGTAACTTGCAGCTTTACGAACAACGCAATTCGATTCTCTTGCTGTTATTTAAAGATTTAGGTAAAATTCAAAGATTACTCGACTTGCGTCTTAAATAAATTTTTTGTTTAATTTTTTTTGCTGCTCGTAATAAGAGATAACAGAGTGTTTAAAATTCCCTGAAAATTCCCGGATTTTCCAGATACTTTGTCCAAATTCCAGGTAAGATTAGAGAATTTTTTAATGCAACTTTGAAATAAGTTAGAATACAAACAATGCAAACAAATTATGTATTAAAAATTAGCAGAAGATAAGGTTTCCACAAGTCTATATGTCTATATCTTTTTATAATAAATATAATACTTCAGAACCGCGAAACTATTGAAGATAAGTATAAGAAATATTCAAAATAGCATCAACTACTCTACTCTACTGTCTTCTATTGTTATCTAGATATTTTAATAAAAATTCGCGAAACACGCGAAAATGTTGTACATGAACGAACGCGAATGTATATGTCGAGCTTATTGCTAATTTATTATCGACTTGTTGTATTATCAAACAAATTATTAAAGTAACAAAAAAAGATAGAATTTAAAAATAAAATTTTTTCATTTTAACCTAAGACGCAATAAAATTCCATGAAAACTCCTGTTTTTCAAAGGTAAAAAAGGAATTCCTTGAATTTTAGGTTTGCCAGATTTTTCCAGATAGTAAACACTCTATATAATCCCTCCTCGCAAGACTTCATTATTTGTTTTGGCTTGTTCTCGTCTCGACGATCTCAGGATGTTTCTTACTTTCCACTGAATTCTTTCTACTGACCCCCTCGCATATGTCGTATAGTCGGGACATTCGACCGACAGTTTTATATTGTCCCAGAAGCGGGAGACTCGACAGTCTCGATTCGAGTCGAGAAGCCATGAGCGGCGATCGGACAATTTTCGCGTAAATGCGAGCACGATCGATCCAATGTGGCGCGTTGCACGCCCGTATAACACGTCTAGGAACGTACGAGTGATTTCGTCTATTCCGAGTTTGCCGAACTTGATTGCTGCTATTCAGGCTCGCCTTCGGGATTGATGGCGACTAGCCCAAATTTGCCCCTTGCAATGCCAATTACCGGAATCATTATTAAATGGTGGGAAGCGCGACAAGCGGCCGTGATTTCAATTTGCTTGACGACTTCTTAATCTTACGTCGTTCATATTTCGTAAAAGTTACAGCGAACTCCTCTGTTTGTCTTTCATATGCTGATTTTGCAAACACGATCATAAACATATTATCCATCGCGTTTACTTTTCGATTCTTATTTTATTATTTCCACATATACACGGAAGAACAATTTGGATAAAGTGTTTAAATACAGATCTAAAAATTTTTTTGTTGAATCATCAAAATAATTATGTAGGAAACTCAAACATAATGAGCTACTGTAAAAAATTTGGCCATTTTAGCAACCAGAGCTTGAACATTTTCCATTATTATTTTAATAATCCAATAAAATTATTTTCACATCTGTATTTAGCTAAATTTTTAGATACTTCTATAAAACCGTTATTTTCGTGTAAATATTTGAAGAAATTTTATCCTATCAATTATGTATGTCACAGCTGAAGAAAAACTCAAAGTCGACAAAAAAAAATTATTTTTGTATCTCTATAGTCAGAAAAAAAGGCATAAAAGTACATAGCAACTACAAAAGTTACAACTGGTAGACGTTTCATAAGTAGAATTAATGTACGTACAAACAATTCTTTTAAAATATATAGTATAAAAATTGTTTGGTTAAAAACGTAAATATTTAGCTATATAAAATATACAGCTGAATGTTTTAATTACTACAAAATGTAAAATAATTTTTTTAAAACCATGTACATTAATTCTATATATAAAACTTTTCTATATACCTATAAAGCTGCCATTTTTACAGTTGATATGACTAAATATTTTTCTAATTGTTTTGGGTATTATATTATATATATTCGAACTCTTAAATGAATATCGCACGCAAGAAAAATTAAATGATATAGAAAATTAACGAATAAATAATAAAATCGAGGAGCAACAAATATAGTAATAATCAAGCAATAATTACTTACCAAAACACCTGCAATGAGTAGCAGTCGCCTCCCTCGGTTGATTCATTACGTCCATTTCCTCGATGCTTCACAATGTTCCTGGATACACCGATGGCCAAGCCGGTGATTTCCACTGAAAATAATAGAAAATTAACTAATGAATAGAACTGAGCAGTAAGTAATATAGTATAATAATCAAGGAGAATAATCATTTACCGAAACGCCAATGAGTTCCTGTCATCTCTCTCAGTTGATTCATTATGCCCATTCCCTTGACGCTCCTCAATGTTCTCGAATTCACCGGCGATATACTTCCATTCACGCTCCTGAATAACGTGAAACGCGAGATTATGTGACATGTCCGTGTTACAAATCCCGCACGTCAATTCAATACGTCGGAGAGTGATCGACATCGATAGAGTAACATTCGACCGAATGGACAGATTGATTAGCGCGTTCGCGCCTAAATTCACTCAGCACTCCCGATATTTCCCGCGTAAATGCGAAGTAGGTTCAAGGTTCAAGGAACTCGTCAAAATGGCGAATGGATTCCGCGCATTTCACGGACGATCGTGTGATCGCTGACTCCGACCAATTCGCCACAACAGCGATTCTTCGCGATGCTCCACTCGACGTCCCCCGATCACGACGATGCTCTCTAGTGTCCTGAATGATGAAAATCGCTCTCATCGCGTCAGATGAGCACTCGACAAGCGGAAACGAAACGCGGAGCGGCAGTCGTTGATCACGCATATATATCGAAAGACGCGATTATTCTTACAATTAGTCGTACGGACCCGACTGATACGACAAAATGATCGCCCCGTCACTAAACTCGACACTCCCGATTTCCATTTATACGAGAAATTCATCCGGAACGAGTAAAAAAGCGCGAAAACGCGGAGCGATTACGACTCTGTAGCGCAGTACGTTTACCGAAGCCGTTTGACTCGCGAGAAGTATGTAGCGTACTTGAACCAATCATGTGATTGCGACCAACTTCGCGCGCTCATACGACGCGGCAAAGTCGTTTTCTAGCAACACAACGCTTTGCTGTGTCGACGCAAATACAATATTATTGAAATTAATTATTAGATTAAACAATTTGAAAAAAATGAATTATTTGAATTCAATTATTTGTACATTTTAGTTTGCATAAAATAAGTGTTATATAAATAAATAAAAATTTGTTTTAAAATTTGTCTAGTTCATATTTATATAATGTACTACAATAATATATATATCATATTTAAAGTGCCATTTAAATATAAATCAATACCTAAATATTTAAAAATTTTAAACTAATGTTTAAAATTTTTTTAATCCAATTAAAAATAATGGTTAAACTGTTCTAATTTTTTCTATTAATCCTTATTTTTTCAATTATTATAAAAATATTATATTATTACTGTTATTAGTAACATAATAATTCAGCACGCGTCTAATAAACAGAATAGTTATAAACAATAAGAATAATTATACATACTATTGCTGCAATAGTATTTCTATGCAATTATTATTCTTATTACTCACGATGGTACATGTTTTTGTTGCAGGAAATTTGTTCGTAATAGCGGCTATTCTATTAGAGCGAAACTTACAATCTGTAGCAAATTACTTAATTGTCAGTTTGGCTGTGGCGGATCTTATGGTTGCCTGCCTTGTTATGCCTCTGGGAGCTGTTTATGAGGTACGTATTAAGATGTAAATTATTATCATGCAACTTATTGATGAATGATGTCGAATGCTTGGCAAAAGACACGTGCAATCTTAGAGTCTTTTGCATAAATATGACAAAATGCGACATTCGCAAAATTCGTGAAAGAGAAGGAGATTTACGTTTCTCACCAGCGAATGTCAAGCTATCATTTTCAACAAGGATGTCTATTGCAGAAATCTCAAAATATGGTAGACTTTACCTTATACTCATGTTCATAAAATATAAAATATAAAACACGTTAACTTATATATTATAGTAACTTTTACACTAAAAAATAGTTTTACTGAAACATCTAAAAATTTAGCTAAATACAGATCTAAAAAATAATTTTATTGGATTATCAAAATAATTATGTAGTATGTTGATGATCAAACTGATCGCTAGAATATCAAAATTTTTTTGTAACACTGCTTATCATGTTTGTATTTTCTACATAATTATTTTGATGGTTTAACAAAATTAGTTTTATATTTCTGTACCCAGTAAATTTTTAGATACAGCAAAATTGTTTTTTTTTTCATAGTAATGGATAATTCAGCAATGTTATCTTTAATATTTATTAAATTAAAGAGTTGAAAAAGTTATTTAAAAAAAAAATTGTTTCCATTATTTGTTACTCATTGTAAAATACCATTACACGATACCGAAAAAATAACTCGTTAGCGTTCTAAAAGAAGCATTCAGTTGTTAAAATTTCCGTTATTTTTTAATGATCTTTTAACAATTTTTATGATGTTTTTTTTTAGAGTGACATCCAATTATCTGTATCACTAATTGACTGCTTCGACACGAACTATCTAGTAATTATACTTATATGATTAATCGCAACATGGCCAAACATAACACTCTCTTCTTTTAAAACTAACTGCGCATGTTTTATATACATATGTACATACAAAGTAACGATTATCTTTATTACCTTAAAAAATTCATAACTCAAAAAATGTAATTAGGTTACCGTTATTATCAATAAAAAATATAACATTGATACTATTTATTATTAAAAAAAAATAATTGTAATTGTAACGGCGTAAAAAGCATTACTTCTCTTTGGATTAAATTATCAACTTAAAACATTCATCAGTAAGGATACGTTTTAGCGTATATATTGAAAGACACGTGTACATTCATTTTTCTCCATTTTATCACAGCCTGCATTCGCGAAATAAAAATTTTCCAGTAAAACTGTCAAGTTGCCAACCATTCTTTTCGTAGAAATACTATTCTCTTTCCGCGTATTACACTTTCATTAAACATTAACTTATGCTTTGTTGCAGCCTTTTACAAGTTTATAACATCCATAAGAAAACGCGCGTATTCATTCTCGTTTCTTGCACAATTTTACGACAAGTCGACGTTGCACTTGTGGAAAAAAGATAATATGAGACATACGCATTCTTTATGGATTTTGGCACTTAAACACTAAATTCTTTTAACAAACTTTGCAAATTTATTAATTGCGTGACGACGGCAAAATATTCCGAGAAAGCGATATGCATCGGCTACAGCAATTTATTGTGTTCGAGTTTCACAAATTTTCGCGGAGAATTTCAATAATGAGGAGAATTGCAGAAAATACGAATTACACAGAAGAATTTAACAATAATTTATTAACAAGCGAGACTTTGATTCGCGAAAATTGCGGTAAAATTTACAATCAACTACATATAGTAATTACGAAGAGATAATTCACAGTGACGATCACTTTTCATATATGACACGTCACGTAATTAAATGTTTAATATATTATAACATGTCGAAATTTTGAGGAAATACACGTGGAATTTTAATGTGCACAACATTTTATAATATTAGAGTTTTATTTTGATCGTGCCATTTTATAAATGCCATAATCTCAAAAAAGGACTTTAATGTCACGACTACGATGTTTTAAAAGCTGAAGCAGTTTTCTACGCCGAGATATCTCTTATGCTGTTTCCAACGCAAACGCAAACGACGGGAAACGTTGTTACACATATACATATTCAACAATTAACGCGCGAGTATACAGAGATAACAAGCGATATAGCTATGTACATACAAATGATTAGCTTTCGATTCTCTGCCATAGAGAAATTCACTGCGCCGTGCATTTATATTTAATAAGCGTCAGTAAGTAAGTAGAACCTTGCGTTTTACACCATAATAGCGGTAACGTAAAGCATTAATTACAGCCGGCGTTATTTAATTAATAAAAATTTCAACGGAGATTACCGCGAGAGATAATACGTGCGTCCGAGAGCGCGATCATCTCGTTATATCTTCAAATACGATATCGTTTTTAAGCACGTTCCGCGAAATACAGTATAGGATTGATAAACGTCAAGATAATACGCAGAAATTCGCGCTGATGATACGAATTTGACTACAATCACGTTCTACATAAAACCTTATATCCGCGCTCTTTCATTCTTGGATATATCCATTCAGCCAGATTATCCACTGTTTAACCAAGCTTTTCTGATATGCGTCCTTATTTAGATCCTTCATCTCATCTTTTTAACGCAGCTTTTAAACACTCCTCATATCTTATCATATACTTTATCTGCCGTGCGCTTTTTGTATGTACCTCATCTCAGCACTTTTCTTCTCTCTTTTTCTCACTCCACTTTTCCCTTATATTTTTACACTCTTGCTGCATTTTACGACACGCATCGCGTCCTACGTCTGTACACCGCTTTTCACGCGGACGTCTCCAGCGTAAAATAAGTTTCTCCCTTCCTATCTCGTTCTTTAAGTCCTCTTCATCATCGTTGGCGTGTCAATATCTCTCCCGCTTTATCGTTAATGTGGTGCAATTTTATCTCAACTACCATTCAGCCGACGCATTAACAATTTTTACCGCCATGTACTAGATCGACACGCGCATCCATCCTCTTAACGCGGACACGTAGAAATTTATACGTCTGCCGTTTAATCCGAACATTTGATGGATGTCCGCTTTACAACCGCCTCTTTCACCCGTTTATCGGCGGACGCCAGAAACGTGCACGCGAACGACTTCATTATCTGCGCGTGTACACGCGACGCTTGATTAAACCCTTTGGAGACTCTAGAAGATGCTCGATACGAGAAGAATTGTTAAGAAGCAGATTTGCGTCAGATTTTCGCCGCGATTGTTGTCGGTAATCGTGCCCACCTAACGCAAAAGTAATTTCTCTGAGTTTTAATTAATTGCTTAATTTATTCTAAAATTTCGAATTTATTTAAAACTGTAATTTCTTATGTGATTTTTGTAATTTAATTTAAAATACCTTTTATTTTAAATAATGTTAAAGACGGCTACAAAAATATAGTCAAAATGTTTATAAAGAAACTTATTTGGAATTTCATGTAAATTTTATCGAATTAATATGTATACTATTGATTATTATCGAACAGTTTATGCATCGTTTACCAGACTAGTTCTCAATTGTTACTTTACCTTTTAAAGTAATATGATCTTTATAGCATAAAATTTCTGAAAATATCTTTGATAACTTTTTGAAAATAAAATCTTTGAAATCTTGTGTATCTTATGATTTCCGAAATCATGTTATAATCTTGGATTTTTGAATTTTATTTCCAAGTTTGAAAGAAAAAAGAATAGTCAAGGAACTATAGATGAATACGATGAATAGTCAAGAACTAGGGCACCTTTTGAGTTCGCTATTTGCTCTATTATGGTTTTCTCGACAAACATCGAAAACCTATTCTCTTTTTAGTTTCTCAATAAATAAATAATGTGACTTAGAAGAATGCATCACTACAGAGTTCGAAATAAAGTTTCAAAGAAGAGAATTTCATATTATTTCAATAGATAGCTTTAGTTATATAATGTAGAAAAAAAGTTCAGAAACTTTTGAAACAAATCTTAATTTAAATTTTAAAAAGAAAGTGGACACAACGCGATAAAACTTAAATTACTTTCCGCTTTCGATATTTTATAATTACGTATACTTCGATTTAAAGGTATAAAAATATTTACTCTAAAGAGGTTACTGATAAGATAAAAATAACACAGAGAATTGAAGTTGTACGAAAAGTTTAATACGAATGCGAGTATACAAAAACGTGTGCATACCTTTACATAAATTTAATACTAGTACCGACCAATTTATCATTTACTTTGAATATTAAAAGTATTGGTAATGATACTTTTAATATTGAAAATAAATGATTAATTGATCAATATTAGTATTAATTTTTTAATAATTTTACGCATGATAGATTGTACCATCGCTTGTCGCGAGAACCTTTATGATCCTTGACGTTAAAACTGCTTCTACGTCGATTTCCGTATGCTACTTTTGAGAGGTGTTTATATTTCCGGAAGATGGATGCGACTCATCAACTTCCGGAATGTTCTAATCTCAAAGTATAAAGGAATGGATGTATATTGGCGAAGGGGCCGCTGCGCTGAAAGGAGGACAAGAGACGATTGGCTTTCGACGATAGATTCCAATACCATGAATGGACTTTTAAGCAGGCATGAATCAGTTCTCTTCTCCGTTCTCTCACCAGCTCTTCTAAAACATCACTCCTACTATCTCCCTTCATGTGTTTTCCGTTGTCCCTCTGTCGACCATGGCTCAGCTCGGATGTTTTCCCTTTCGACCCTCAATCCGTATTTTCTCATGCTCCCTACTGCGTGGAAAACTGTCGCCCGAATCTATGTGCAATCCTTAACATACTGATCAATCGAACTCAACACAAACGTATAGAATGGATAAAAATAAATATTGTTTATCCGACGAAATTTGATGTATAAAAATCAGCAAAAATTAATTTTTGCATTTTTACAAGAATATTACGAATATAGATAACACGATCTTGAGAAGAATTATAACAAAGAAGAATTAATCTCAACATGGCAAATCCAAGTTTTTTTTAAAAAATGTAGTTTTTATAAAAACTTTTACTTAAATTTATTGCTTAATAATGCTAACTATTTTACCAATAAATATATATTTACTTAATACGATTGTATTCTTTAATGTCCGGTGTTTTGATTGGAAAGGAAATTTATTTCTAAAGCGCTAAGCTCACGCGATATGTTTACTTTTATGAAAATCATAAGTAAAATTTAGTATGCCGTATATAATGTATTCCAAACAAAATATAATATAAAATTGAAGAATTATAATGATGCTTATTAGAGGATGAGATCAAGCAACTTACAAGTAGATTAAATCTGTTGTTTTTTATCTCGAGAACTAACAATTATATAAATAAAGATTATTTCTTTCTCTTCCAAGTAGACTTGAACCTGGATCAGATATGTTCGTGTTCTTTATCATGGGAACTAAAAACTTTACGTTTCTCCAAAATAAAACGTTCGTATAAAGCAGTAAATGTTGCAATTAAATTAAGTATTATTAATTTTATAATATTAACAATATTATGTGTTGCTACAATTTTTACAATTTTATATTATGTTTTTAAACTAATAATTTCATCTTTAGAGCGAAAGTTTGACTACTACTTAAAAAAAAAAATCGGTTTTTTATGTTATAAAAAGTTTCGAATCTTATAGAAACTCATTCTAAAATTCGAAATTGAATAGAGAGAGTGGGGATCAATAACTTTGTAAGTATAATATGTACGAAATACTTTTTATGAATATTACTCGAATTCTAGAAAATTTAAACTTGATTATTGGATTTGACTTATATTTTAATTAATGGTACAATATTAAACTTGATTTTCATTTTTATAATACTTATATTCCAGATAGTGCAGAGAGTTCAAAAAGAGTTTAGGTATTATACTTATATCATCCATTTAGAATATTCATTTTTAAACACAAAAAGAATTCTTTTTCTGAACAGGTCTAAAAAGAATTCTTTTTGCATCTGGAAATGAACTCAGAATTGATGACATACGATTGAATTCTTTTAGTGTTATCTGCGATCACTTTTATGGTTGGAACACACACACACGATAAGCGAATAAAGTCAATGGCCATTTATTGAAGGACTTAATTTATTCCGAGACACTCCGCGCGCGCGACGGAAATCTTGCGATTCCCGCATCGATTTCTCGCTCGACCTATGCTCGCACGATGCGCTAAGCTCACGCTCTCTGATGGATAATTCTGTTTATTGCAGATAAACTCGGGGTGGTCACTCGGTCCGGAGCTCTGCGACATGTGGACCAGCAGCGACGTTCTGTGCTGCACAGCCTCAATATTGCATCTGGTGGCTATCGCGGTCGACAGATATTGGGCAGTCACCGATATCAATTATATACAGGTTAATTAACGCCGTTGCGGTTATCGAGAGGAAGTCGGAAATTGTCCGGGATACGATGCGAACGATACGGTCTTTGTTATCCGCTGTCGCTGACACTGCCACTTGCCACGCCACGCCACACCATGCCGCGAGATAGGGAACAGCCGCGCGGGAGTTGACACGATTGAGATCGTGACGCGAACGGAACTACATATCGTCTCGCAGATCTCTTTGAATACCCAAAAGATCGCATCGTATGGAAATACAATTTTATCAATTCAGGAAACGGTGCGCATGCAGGATTTGAATAGGATTTGACGTGCAAAAATCCGTACATTACAACTTTGTATAAAGTATCTGGAAAATTTCTCAACCGCTCGTTAATTCTCCCTTTTCACAGATTTATACATGCACATTTTATAATCACTCGTGAATCTTCTTCTTTTTTTTTAGAACTTTTCTAAATTTTTAACACATTTTTAGTTTAAAATCCAAACGAGCGTCGTTCGTTTTATTCATCTATCTATCGAAAGTGTAATAAAAGTCCAATTCTTTCTCGACATTCAAGTCTGTGAGACAGATATTTCAGTATACTCGGATCTATACATTTACTGCGAAATAAGGTCATGAAATCGCTCATAAATTTTCGTCGAAATTTGGACGAAGGCAAAGTCCTCTCTCTCTCTCTCTCTCTCTTTTTCTCGTGCGCGCAGCTAGGCTGATGTAACGAGAATTACAAGGAACACTGCTCATGAAGTATGAAAAAGGGTAAGACCGTAAAACGAAACGACCAGGATATCCCGTCCATAAATATGTCTGACCGGTATGAGACGAGTATGTTATGTAATACCCTCGGTGTATAGCTTCTCTCTATGGATGACTCGGAGTTAGTTCGAAATTAGCTTAGAGCTTGATAAGCTGCGTAGCGATCAACCATCCTGGTCGAATTTAACAGCTAACTTGCATTTCCCAACTGATGGAAAGAGGCGTATATATCGGTTCCCTTAACTAGTAAGTCAATTATTTTGCAAATAATGGAGCATGTGATGAAATTACTTGAATTCATATATCCGGCAAGAAGATATGCAGATAAAGCAGGCGTCGCAATTTTCTCAAACAAGCGGAATAATTATAAACTCTCTCTCTCTCTCTCTCTCTATCTTTCTTTCTCCGCCTCTTAAAAAAACTAAGTTTACAAGCAAATCTAATTAAAAGTTTAATTTATTGATGCAAGACTATGTTCTTAGTAATGCACGCACGTCTTGTGGGAAGTATAAAATTTTATCGAAGCAATAAAATGCTTTGTTCTAATTTTAGAGTCATAAAAATGTATTGTAATGATAAAAATTTACAATAGTATAATATTTGTAGCTTACATCACTATGTACAAAGAATATATTATTATATTGAAATTGCATCGCAAATATTTAAATGACTAAATTACTAAAAATCACTTGAAATATAGAAAAAAGTAAACGTTAGTTAGTCTTAACGCTCTCTCTTTGAAATTTAGTTCAGTTAGTTTAGTTCATACAGCTAAAAATAAAATGACGGAATATACATCATTAACGCTGCCTTCCTATTTTAAGGCGAGGAATCCGAGAAGAATCGGCATCCTGATCATCACCGTGTGGGTGGTATCCTTAGGAATCTCATTAGCGCCTCAGCTCGGATGGAAGGATCCTGATTATTTGGTCCGCATAGCCCAAGGGACGTGTCTCGTGTCGCAGGATCCTGCATATCAGGTGAGTGCTTCCGGAGAATTGCGAGCGGATCCAAAATACTTGATTAATATTTGCGACTATAGGAATTGCGCTCCCGTGGAATCGAAAAAGTATTAACAACGTTAACGTTCTTCGTTCTACGTAATTACACGGAATTTTGAATTGCTCTTAATCATGTCATGAACAGACTTTCGCTAATCAGAGAAATGAGAATACAAATGTCAGAATGTCTTAATAAAAATTCATTTTTTATTATAACGAGATGAATATCACTTAGAGCTAACTTTTATCAATTTTTAATGCGGTAGCGTGTATTATAACGAGATATTATATATATTATTTTTAAAAAATATATAATAAACTAAAATATGAATAAATCAAACAATTAAGTATAAAGAAAGAAATTAGATCTTGTTGTCCAATAATATTTACATAACAAATTTTAATTACATCTTCCGATTATATAAACTGTGCGCCGATTATAGTCAGACTTGAAACGCAATCATAAACTGAAACTAAAATAACAAGTCATAAATTAAATTGATCATCAGTTAAAAAAATATACGTATATTATTTTACAGATTTTCGCAACTTGCGCAACGTTTTATGTTCCGCTGCTAGTTATTTTATTCCTGTATTGGAGGATATTCCAAGCGGCACGAAAGAGGATTAGGAAGAGGCCTGGCACTATTCTTCAACCGCCGCGTGAACGAAGGGGCATCCTCAGGCTCGTCACGAGAAGGTTGTAGCCCTTTTTCCCTTCCTGATGTCACGATGTCAGAATCCCTATCTAAATCTCAAACGTGTAATCGAAGATGTCACCTTTCGTAGTTGGAATAAACTTGAACGCAACGCGCTAAGTCACATAGAATAAATCTCACAGTCGGGCTGCTGAGAAATGGCATAAATCCTTCACAAGATTTAGTTTGCTCCCCTAATATCTTGCCAAGAGAGAACGCATTCTTTATAGGGTCCATAATTTAACTTGTAAATAAATATTTTTGTAGCACGCAGTATTTTATCTCAAGTGGCTTAGCATGCTCTAAGCATTTTTATCCCAATGACCAGTGCAGGCCTTTACTACGAGAACAAAGGTATGATTTTACCTGTTGACTGTTCTATCGTTAAAAAAATATCATCGCTGCTTAATAGTTACATATCTTTTAAGCTTTATCGCTTTTAAAATAAAGTGTTTGTTTTGAATTTCAAAATAAGTGTTTGATATTGTAAATATATTAATCTGCCAGAAATTATTCTTTATTAAATTATCATTATATTACATAACAATTTGGTTAACATCGCTCCAAAGCAATGCTCCTGTAATTGTTTATCTTCGAATAATTGTGAATAATCTCATTTTTATACACTTTTTTATACTGCTTCTTTACATTTCTGTTAAAGGGAGAATAATTTTTCTACTTTTTTTTTATCTTGCTTCCAAATTCATCAAAGATACACGTAAACTCACAGATTATAATTTCGCATATTATTTCTTTTCTCATTCTTTCATATCAATTTTAATGATTATTAACATAATAATTAATTTTAATTCATATTCTATAGCTAACAGTAAATCAATGTATCTTCTGCAATTATCAGAGAAAGGCCGTGTCTAAATTTATATAATATTTATAAAAGAAATGAACATACAACTCTTCATCTGCTATCCTTCCATCGCTTCTTCATCACCTCTTCTTTCAACGGCCTCTCATAAATATCGCTGACCGCGCATCGTGACATTATTCGCGCGATAAAACAACGGATGAAACTTCTCTCTTTTTCTCTCCTTTCCCCTCTCTTTCTCTCTTGATCAACATAACTATGATTTATCTGATTGTAGGCCGCGTGAGGAATCAACGGCGTTCACCATCACAAGAACCACACCAGACCATTCGTCCATCTCTCCAGAGAAATCGTCGTCATACAACGGCGCGAATGCCACACCATCGACAACGGTAACACCGACGGCGGTCTCGACGACGACAACAACCACCACCACGACGACGTTGACAAATCTGACCAGCACGAGCCAGCAACCGGTGGTCAAGTGCACGAAGCGCACACGCGAGACGATCGAGTCGAAGCGCGAGCGTAAAGCAGCGAAGACCCTGGCGATCATCACCGGTGCCTTCGTCGCCTGCTGGCTACCGTTCTTCTTCGCCGCACTGCTGCAAGCCACATGTCAGACTTGCAAACCACCCGAGGTCGTGTCCAGTGTGTTCCTATGGCTTGGATATTTCAATAGCACCCTCAACCCCGTAATTTACACTGTGTTCTCGCCGGAATTTCGGCAGGCATTCAAAAGGATGCTGTGCGGTGGTACGCGGGGACTTCGCTGACAGTGGATTTAATTCCTTTGCTCCGTGCGCGTAGCCGGATGAAGAGGATATGTGAAACTTTTGTATATGTATATATGTATGCACTCGCTTGCTACCCAGTGGTTTCCTCGGTGTTGTGTAATAACTGGATGCCCAACTCTAAATATTATTATATTAAATGAATACTCGGGCGGTATTCATTTAGATGCGAGAATATTGAGAGAAATTAACAATTAATATTACATTTTTTTAAAATATTTTATCAAACAATTCTCAGAGAAATTTAACACATGTCTCATTTATCGCTGAAATTATTACCTTATCTTATTAATATATTCTCTATGTTTTTATTAATGATGTAATAATCTTATCAATTTTAGAATGTATCGTTCAAATTGCCTATCCTTGTACCAAAATCAATTTTGTCAGCATCTAGACACGATGGACAGTGTTCAACGCAATACTACTTCTCCTTACAGCTGTTCCAAATAATCAAGCCCTCGCCATTTCTCTCGTAGATATTATTAATGAGTATAACTCGTTCTCGTAAACGAAACTAACTGAAATTCCACTCGCGATTGGCGTTAATTACATTTCATGTTAATCGACAACAACGAGAACGAATCTATATCTTAGATAGATATTTTTGCGAAACGCTTCCCTAAATCACCAGAGAATCAAACAAACGACAATGGTGCAACATTACTCGCGATTTTGTTTAAGCGGGCGAAAATATTTCATTGTATAATGAACAGATATTTCAATTTATAAATTTAATTCGCCAGAATCGAAGTCAGAGCACATTTTAACACGTAAACTGGCCGACACACATATATGACTTACAATTAGGGAAAATCCTTGTCGCTCAAAAAACGTAAATTTAAGCTACGATTATAGATTTTTTTAATTATAGGATAAAAATGTGGATAAGCAGAGGGCCACAGTATCTAAGTAATATAGATGCTTAAAAAAAATCACAATCTCTAACATTCTATTTAAACAGGAGAAATGTGGACGAAAACATGGATGGCTCTGTTAAAAGTTTCGGTTTAGCACCGTAGTACTTAATCGTAATGTATGAATAGTTGACATAATCGAAGTAAGAACAAGATTCGTACGTCTCGTATTTTGTCGTCCAAAAAATTCCTTAAGATATGCTCTGATAATGTAAAAAGAAAATCGCGAGGAGTGCTTTTGCCGAATTATAATTGTACATAGTATTGTGTATAAGCGCGCGATAGTGTTTAGCGATCATACTTCCGAGCATTACTGTTAAAATAGGTATATGTATAAAAGTTTTCAATCTTGGCTTGCCTCTAAAGTGCGTATACGTAATGACAAGTCTGAGTGTACATACATTAATTGAAATCGCGACAGAACGAATACATTACGAATGCGTGGCAGAATGGATTCTCACAAATCTGCTTGTATGTGTGTGTGCGCGTGTGTAATTGTGTATGTGTGTGTGTCGCGGTCGTGTATAAAATTCCACCTTTGAATAAAAACGCAACTTCAAGCTCGTCTCGTGCTAAGTACATCTTTGCGCTTTTCAACTTGATTCGAAGTTAGAAGTACAATCTTATACAAATTAATGTGTACATAAGAGATATAATTTTTAGATTTATATACATTTATTATATATAAAAAGAATTTATACAGAGTTTATTATTGTATTTTTTTTATTAATTAATATGTTCTCGAAAAATATTGTAATAAGCACTGTACATAACTTTAATATAATAAATGTATATAAATTAAAAAATTACTTCTTATCCACATACACACATTAATTTGCACATTACTGTACTCTTTGGGAAATTTCTCAAGTGCAAAAATTTTCTCGTCGCCTTACGAAGACTTGCTTACACGCAATTTTACTCATACGGAGTTTTTTAATAAAAAAAAAAAAAAATAAGAAGCATCCAACACAAGCAACAGAATTGAATAGATCGATCGCAATATTCCCTTTAACGACGTGTGCGTGTGTGTGCATTACAGATTTATTTTCACGAATTACGCTTACTGTAAAATAGATAATACTTACAAACCAGAGACGATTATAATAAATATAACAAGCGTAAATATGAAGGAGAAACACGCAGTAAAATATTGCGAGTTAAGCTTATATCGTGGATGCAATGTTAGAAACAAAACATAATTTCACAAATTACCTCTGTCTAAAGATAAAATTATATGATATCTGGAAATGTAACTTTAGCCTTGCCATTCAATTCTGCGTCTTATAAACGAACGTAAGCCTTTAAATTTACGTAGTAGTAGGGTAACACATCCAGTACATGCTATAATATTACTACATAATATGGCGGATAATGTTTAATTTACAGAGCAACGACTGATCGGGATCTGCGTTCGTATATTAAATGAATAAGAATTGAAAAGTTGGCACTTTTCGTTCGTAATGTCTACTTCGAAATGTCGAATACAAGTGCACATGCATTCATTTCGTTTTTACGTCAACTTGCGAGCCACTAGGTGCTCGTTTAGAAGTAAACATAGTTCTAGACTAATTATAATGTATTAGGCAGATTGTGATAAACGGCGACAATAGCTTTTTCTTCGTCAGAAATGGTAAAACTTTATTCCATCTAATTTTAAAGTATACACAAATAATATAAAATAAACGCTTCCTCGCTTAAAGAAGTTATAATAAATAAGAATACAGGATTATATATACATACCATGTATATTTAAATTTGCTTCTTATTCGAATTAATGATAACTTTCTTTTGCTACCTGCTTATTATTATTACGAGCTAAATAATATCTACTAAACTAAAATGTACAATTAAAAAAAGAAGAATTACTAATGAGAGTATATAAATATTATTTTTTTATCAGTAATTCAGACTGCTTAAATTTGTGAATAAACTTTTTTCATTTCTGACGACAATTGTTGCTGAAATGACGGCAATATCAGATACGCTTGCGCTATCTAATTATGTCACTGGTCGTCGTTTTACTCACACGACATGACTAATAAATATAACATTTTCTTCACATTTATTTTTTATGTAAGTCTCCAAGCAAAAAAGTGAAGCGTTGTCTGCCGAACATTTTCAGCATTGACTTACCATCCAGTGAAGTTGAAAAATATCGCGAAAGAATAAAAAAAAAATATTACGAATATTTTTATTGCAAGAATTGTATTAATCGCGAAAGATTACAAAAGAGTACATTTTTGCCTGATAAAAGTTTAATTTTGCAGATCTAAATATTAGTCAAAGGACAAGAAGCCCTGATAACGTTAAAACATCGACAGCGTCACTCGATACACCGAACAATGTTTGATGTGGTTAACACTCATTAATAACGTTCTGTCAAAGTGTCATAACAAAATTGATCAGTAGTAATTTGCATTTGTGAAATGTGAAATAGCTTCGGCGATATACACGGTAAAATGTTCAGTGGATAACGGGATACCGGATAATTACGTAATGCTTGTAAATCGACAAACAATCGTATCAACGATCGTTTGCGTTCCTGCAAATTGCCTCGTAAGAGATATGGGAAAACGTTAATTAAATTACGAGTGCGTTTAGACAAGAGCGCGGAGAAGCAACGAAACGAAACGGATGGTAGTCGGCAAGATAAATATTATCCAGCGAATTAAGTCTATAAGACCACGTAATCATCCCGATGAAAAGTTGATATAAAAAAGTATTGTTGAAATCTTATGGAAGCATCGAGAGAAAAGAGAGGAGAAAAAGAAGAAAAGCAAAAGAAAAAGATGAGAGACGAGAGGAAAGAGCGCGGACAAGACATGTATTACAACGATGCTTCATGTGTATTTGTCTTTGCAATCATAAAATGAAATAAATCACCGAAAAGTTTGGAGAAACTTGCCTGAGCTTGCTTTTCATGTTTGCAATGTCAGCGATCTCGATATTACGAATTGGAGTTTCCCATGGTTCTATTTATTATAGGTTGTCACAAAAGTAATTTTGTTTCTTCATGTATTTCTCATTTTCCATTATCCATTTATTCGACTTTTTCAATCACCGACTGTAATTAGCAAAGCTAATTTTTTTCAACCCCTATACAAAAAACTAAATATATCATATAAGAATTGAAACGCACATTTTTATATCTCTTCCATATTTCGCCTCCTCCAATTTTTTAGAGATGTTGTATATTTATATCTTTATTAGGCAAATGAGCAGAAATGACAAATAACGCGTTACTTACCATCCTTGCAAATGAGGTATACATATGTATGTATCATAATCAGACAATCGCATTCAGATGTAAAATATAAGTCGTAGAACTCTTTCTTTAGATATCCTTTTCATGAAAATTTTTTTAGATATTTGCGCTGTTTGCAGGATGCTGTGTGTTTAAAATTTACATATCTCTGGAAACACATCACAGTAATATATGATGCATTAACAAAATATTATATTCCCTTTCATGACGGTATTTCAAACAAAATTGTTTGTGCATTACAATCAAGTTAATGAGCCATGTAACATCGAGAGATTATTATGAAAGATCCGTTAATGCGATTATAAGGTTCAAAATAACGAACGGTTGTATAATCCTGTACTCTGTCGCATAATAGTCTAACACGTACATCAACTAAAACTGAGAAATGCAATTTTCGAGATATTAATGTGCTCTATTTACTTATCACGTTGTATGCCTCATTTTCATACTGTGTATAATTTAGATTTTTATTTCTCACAAATAAATTCTTTAACAATATACAAATTATTATATAAAAATTACAAGTAACAATTAATGTACATAATTTTTATTGAGTTAAAAATTGCATTTATTTTACTTTAAAATAGATTTGTATTTTAAAAGTACAGATTTATTTAGTAAAATTAGATTATGGAAATAGAGAGAGAGAGGAAATAAATTGGATTAAACGAAAAAATAAAAAAATTTGTATAAAAAATGACGTGATTAAGAACAAAATAATGGAATATTTCTTTTTAAATAAATATATGTATATGTAAATTTAACCTTAATTAATGATGTGTATATGAAGAAATTATTAATCAATATGTTAGACTTGACAT